GTCACTCAGGGGTCACTCAGGGGTTACTCTGAGGTTACTCAGGGTCACTGGGTCACTCGGGTTAGTCCGAGGTTACTCCAGGGTTACTCAGGGGTCACTCAGGGGTTACTCTGGGGTTACTCCAGGGGTTACTCCGGGGTTACTCAGGGGTTACTCAGGGTCACTCTGGGGTTACTCCAGGGGTTACTCCGGGGTCACTCAGGGGTCACTCAGGGTCACTCAGGGTCACTCAGGGGTCACTCAGGGTCACTCAGGGTCACTCAGGGGTCACTCAGGGTCACTCAGGGTCACTCAGGGGTCACTCAGGGTCACTCAGGGTCACTCAGGGGTCACTCAGGGTCACTCAGGGTCACTCAGGGGTCACTCAGGGTCACTCAGGGTCACTCAGGGGTCACTCAGGGTCACTCAGGGTCACTCAGGGGTCACTCAGGGTCACTCAGGGTCACTCAGGGGTCACTCAGGGTCACTCAGGGTCACTCAGGGGTCACTCAGGGTCACTCAGGGTCACTCAGGGGTCACTCAGGGTCACTCAGGGTCACTCAGGGGTCACTCAGGGTCACTCAGGGTCACTCAGGGGTCACTCAGGGTCACTCAGGGTCACTCAGGGGTCACTCAGGGTCACTCAGGGTCACTCAGGGGTCACTCAGGGTCACTCAGGGTCACTCAGGGGTCACTCAGGGTCACTCAGGGTCACTCAGGGGTCACTCAGGGTCACTCAGGGTCGCTCCGGGCAGGCCCCGGCCGTGCTGGTGGCCGAAGGTGACACCGTCTACGACTTCACCTGGTACCCCCTGATGGACTCCGGCCACCCCCACACCTGCCTGTGAGCAACTGGGACGGACTGGGATGGACTGGGATGGACTGGGACAAACTGGGACGGACTGGGAGCGACTGGGATGGACTGGGAGGGAACTGGGACAGACTGGGAATGAACTGGGACAGACTGGGAGCAACTGGGACGGACTGGGATGGACTGGGACAAACTGGGATGGACTGGGACAAACTGGGATGGACTGGGACAAACTGGGATGGACTGGGAGCGACTGGGACAAACTGGGACAGACTGGGAGGGAACTGGGACAGACTGGGAATGAACTGGGACAGACTGGGAGCAACTGGGATGGACTGGGAGCAACTGGGACAGACTGGGACAAACTGGGACGGACTGGGAGCAACTGGGACAAACTGGGACGGACTGGGAGGGACTGGAAGCAACTGGGACAGACTGGGAATGAACTGGGAGCAACTGGGATGGACTGGGAGCAACTGGGAGGGACTGGGAATGAACTGGGAGCACTGGGATGGACTGGGGGGGACTGGGACAGACTGGGATGGAACTGGGATGAACTGGGAGCACTGGGAGGGACTGGAGGGAATTGGGAGGTTTGGGTCTGGTTTATACTGGTTTATACTGGTCTGTATGGGTTTTTACTGGGTTATGCTGGTTTGTACTGGTTCATACTGGTCTGTACTGGTTTGTACTGGCGTGTTTGTACTGGTTCTTACTGGGTTATACCGGTCTGTACTGGTTCATACTGGTTTATGGTGGTCTGTATGGGTTTTTACTGGTTTATACTGGGCTGTACTGGTTTATATTGGTTCATACTGGTTTATACTGGTTTATACTGGTTTATACTGGTTCATACTGGTTTATACTGGCTCATACTGGTTTATACTGGTGCAGGGTGGCCGCCAGCTGCCGGGACCACCCCGTGCACCTCTGGGACGCCTTCGACGGGAGCCTGAGGGGGTCGTTCCGGGCCCACAACCACCTGGTGGGAACTGGGAGCACTGGGAGGGACTGGGAATGAACTGGGATGGACGGGGATGGACTGGGAATGAACTGGGATGGACTGGGATGGACTGGGATGAACTGGGATGGACTGGGATGGACTGGGATGGACTGGGATGAACTGGGATGGACTGGGATGGACTGGGAATGAACTGGGATGGACTGGGATGGACTGGGAGGGACTGGGATGGACTGGGATGAACTGGGATGGACTGGAATGAACTGGGATGGACTGGGATGGACTGGGAATGAACTGAGATGGACTGGGAGGGGATTGGGAAGGGACTGGGATGAACTGGGAGGGATTGGGATGAACTGGGAGGGTTCTTGAGGTGTCCCAGGTGAATTTTGGGGTCCCCGAGGGGTTTTTGGGGCCCCTTTGGGGTCGGGAATTTCGGGATTTTGGGGGCTGGAATTTGGGGTCGGAATTTTGGGATTTTTGGGGTTGGAATTTTGGGATTTTTGGGGTTGGAATTTTGGGATTTTTGGGGTTGGAATTTCGGGATTTCTGGCCGGAATTCTGGGATTTTATGGTTGGAATTTTTTGGGATTTTTGGAATTGGAATTCTGGGATTTTTGGGGTCGGAATTTTGGGATTTTGGGATTTTTGGGGTTGGAATTTTGGGATTTTTTGGGTTGGAATTTTGGTGTTTCTGGCCGGAATTCTGGGGTTGGAATTTTGGGATTTTTTGGGTTGGAATTTTGGCATTTCTGACTGGAATTCTGGGATTTTGGGGTGGGATTTTGGGATTTTTGGGGTGGGATTTTGGGATTTCTGGCCGGAATTCTGGGATTTTTGGGGTCGGGATTTTCGGGTTTGGGATTTCCAGGATTTTCGGGTTTGGGATTTTTGGGGCTTTTCGGGGTCGGAATTCCGGGATTTTGGGGTGTCCCCCCCCAGGACGAACCGGTGGCCCCCCACTCCTTGGCCTTCACCCCCGACGGCTCCCGGCTCCTGGGGGGCTTCGACGGCGCCGTCCGAGAATTCCCCACGGAGCGGCCGGGCCGGAGCGGCCACGAGCGGCCCCTGAGGCGTGAGGGGCGGGGCCAAAGGGGGCGGGGCTTAACTGGGTGTGGCCCTGGGGGCGGGGCTTAACTGGGTGGGGTCCCGGGGTGGGGAGGGGGAGGTTCCTCGCCTTTAATTGGGGGGAAATTGGGGATTAAAGGGGGGCGGGGATTAACTGGGTGTGGCCCTGGGGGCGGGGCTTAACTGGGTGGGGTCCCAAGGTGGGGGTGGGGTAAGAGGGAGAGGTTCCCTGCTTTTAATTTGGGGTTTGGGGGGTTAAAAGGGGGCGGGGCTTAACTGGGTGTGGCCCTGGGGGCGGGGCTTAACTGGGTGGGGTCCCAAGGTGGGGGTGGGGTAAGAGGGAGAGGTTCCCTGCTTTTAATTTGGGGTTTGGGGGGTTAAAAGGGGGCGGGGCTTAACTGGGTGTGGCCCTGGGGGCGGGGCTTAACTGGGTGGGGTCCCGGGGTGGGGAGGGGGAGGTTCCTCGCCTTTAATTGGGGGGAAATTGGGGGCCTGAGGGCGTGGCCTAAATGGGTGGGGTCAGAGGGCGTGGCCTGGGTGTTCCCCCGTCTTTAATTGGGGGGGGTTGGGTGTAAAAAGGGGCGGGGCTTAAAGGGAAAGGGGGCGTGGCCTGAAGGACCCCGATGGGGGCTCCCAAGGGGGTGGGGCTTAAATGGGTGGAGCCCGAGGGGGCGTGGTTATAGCAAATTGGGCGTGGCCTCACCATTGTCTCCGCCCCTTTCCAGAGGGCGGGCAGGGCCAGCGAGGCCTGATTGGCTGCCTGGCCTTCAGCCCCAGCCAATCGCTGTTCGCCTGCGGCTCCTATGGGCGGAGCCTGGGGCTGTACCCGCTGGAAGGGGGCGGGGCCGTGATGCTCTGGCCCCGCCTCTCGGCCGCGCCCACTCACCTGCGCTTCAGCCCCTGCGGGACACGCCTCTACGCGGGGGGGAGAAAGGTGGGCGTGGCCTCGCGGTGGGCGTGGCTTGGAGGGCGTGGCCTGTGGGGATTGGCAGGCTGAAGTGGGTGTGGCTTTGTGGGTGTGGCCTATGGGGATTAGCAGTCTGGAATGGGTGTGGCTGGGTGGGCGTGGCCTCGTGGTGGGTGTGGCCTATGGGATTGGTGGTTTAAAGTGGGCGTGGTCTCGTGGTGGGCGTGGCTAGGTGGGTGTGGCCTGTGGGAACGAATAGCAAAAATGGGGTGTAGCTTCGTGGGCGTGGTCTGCGGTGGGCGTGGCTTTGTGGGTGTGGCCTCGGGTTGGGAGCTTGAACTGGGCGTGGCTTATGGTCATGGCCTTTGTGGTGGGCGTGGCTTTGCTGTTGTGGGTGTGGCCTATGCAGAGCGGCAACCTGGAGTGGGTGTGGCTTGTGGGAGTGGCTTTCTGGGTGTGGTCTGCATTGGGTGTGGCCTATTGGGATTGACAGCTCAAAGTGGGCGTGGCTTTTGTGGGCGTGGCTTTGTGGGTGGGGTTGTGGGCGTGGCATGTGGTGATTGGCAGTCTGGAATGGGTGTGGCTTATGGGTGTGACTTTTGGTGGGCGTGGCTTATCGGGATTGGCTCCTCGGGCTGGGCGTGGCTTTGTGGGCGTGGCCTGTGGTGGGCATGGCTTATTGAGATTGGCAGCTCAAGGTGGGTGTGGCTTTGTGGGCGGGGTTTGTGGCGATTGTGGCTTTGTGGGCGTGGCTTAGGGGTGGTTTATCCCCTTGTGGGCGTGGTTTGGCGGCTGATGGGCGTGGCCCCGCCTGGCCCCGCACCCCAGGACCGTCACATCCTGTGCTGGGACCTGCGAGCCCCCGAGCGGCCGCTGCTGGCCCTGCCCAGGAGGGTGGAGACCAACCAGAGAGTGACCTTTGACCTGGACCCGTGAGTGGGGACACCTGGGGACAGCTGGGGACA